TTTCTGATGGTGTAAGGTGGACGTGGTATTACCTTTAGAGAGTTGCAGTCATCAGAGTAAGAGGAAATATATGTAGTGTTTTATCTTTCAGAACTTAATGTGCCAAACCGGATGTCCTGTAATGTTTCAAAGGGATGACAGAAATCCTTTGCAATTAGAAGCTGAATATTCAGCCTTGTCACAAGAAGTCTTCCTTATTCAATTAGATTTTTTAGGTGTTTGCTTTAAAAAGTAATATCAGATCAGTAATGGGGAAGCAATCTTTGAAATCATTGGTGGGCCAAACCATGATAATAAAATACAAAAGTGCAATGAATGGTGGGAAATTTCTGACAGATTAGACATAAAAATTGTTTTTTTATGGCAAATCTCTATGGCTTCTTACCATGATGACATCATGGTAGTTTGGAAAAAAAAAAATGTGTACATCTCCTGCAGAGCCTATGAACTTGTTTTCTTTTGTATATTATGGAATTTATAGTTATTTTATTACATTTTCTTACAGTGATAGCCAATTTAGCAAGCCCAAGGTTTTAGAGCATCTTTCAAGATGTAGGTTCCATTTGCACATTCACGTTCAAGTCTCAAAGCAACAGCAGCAGCCTTTATGTATCCCATGATTAACACTTCAACCTCCAACCCATTTTGTAAGGTTAGGCATTCATCAAAATGTCAGAATGATTAAATTACAAATTTAAAAGCTCTTTTATCGGACATTGGTCTTTAATCCGCTCTTTTCTGTAGTCATCACTTTTGCAACTATTACTGTTTTTGGTAAAAAATAAATTGTACCTTGCAATCAAAATGGCTTGTATCCAAATTGCTCTCTGATGCTACAAAATGTTGGTTGTAGACAGTTCTCCTGAGCACTGCTCTTCCTCTCCTCCAGAATTTACAGTTGAAATGGAAGCAATAGAATGTCAGGAGAACAGGGTGGGGCTGAGGGATTCCTGGCCTTTTCACTGCTAGGCTTGGGAGCTTAGAAAATTTACCTGGAGGCCTCTGAGTAACTGAATCTGTAAAAGACAGTAAATGAGATTTCTCCACTGTTTTATTCATAGCTTGTGCTGACTTTTAAGTGAGCTTTTCTTTTGGAATGAAACTCTGACTGTAAGTGGCAGCTAGAATCGCCACCTGTCACAGGTAAGGTTTCCAGTAAACAAAATATTTACATATATCAAGTGTTAGAGGGACTGGGGAAAAATTTGATGGGCAAATAGAAATTCATAGAAGGCTACAAACTCTTTCTCAACCAGTCTCACTTGTAGGTCTTAAGCCTAAGACGCCATATTACAGGTGGATCAGCTTCAGAGGGAAAGCAAGAGCTTTCTATTGGAAACAAACAAACCGTTCTTTGTCAGTTCCTTTGCATATGTGTTTCTATAAATTTTGGAGCCTAAACGGTTGGTTCCTAATTTTTTGTTTCATTGAAGCTGCTGAATGCTAATAGGTTATTGATGGTGGTTTTATTTCTCAGGCATGAAAAATGCTTGGGCAACAGGGTATGCATGACAGTTAATCTTTGCAGAGAGAAGATGAGCATCAGTGGCTGAATTAGGTGCGGAGGTTTGCAGGTGATACTTAGGAACACAGTGACATCAAGGGAAAGGGTAGCCCATGGAAGCACTGGCCATAAATAGTTTCAGGCATGCTAAGAATATCAGGACTGGAGAGGAGAGACTATGTGGAATTGCTTCACAAGAATGGCAGCTCCTTAAGAATTATAATGAGATCAGAAGGTACAATGCTTGTCAGTACTTACAGTTTTTTTCTAGCTGGAAATAAGCAAAAGTGGAAAATTACCAGGGTTTACTTTTTTTTTGTCTCCATCATTTATAACTAATTGAACATGGGGAAAAAATGTGTCTTCCTTTTAAGGCTCAGCTTCCTCAACTGCAACATAGGATGAAAAAGTACCATACTTCAGAGTTGTTGCTAGGATTTAAATAAAGATAATATATGTCAAGTGCCTAGCTCAAGGTTTGGCACCTTAGCACATGCTCCAGAAGTGATATCAATTATTATTACATGATGGAGATAATATTTGGTGGTCTGCATGTTTTTGTCAGTGGGGGGCAGGGGGAGATAACTGTTTTTTTTTTTTTTTCCTCATGTTTGTGAATGTATAACTTTCTTCCAGCTCAGCTGAAGAATCCATCACAGAGAAAGGTGCTTCGGGATTGTTACCAGATAAATTGAAATTAAAAGTAGTTTTTTATAATTCTGTGAAGAAAGTCAATGGTAGCTTGATGGGGTTAGCATTCAATCTATACATTACTTTGGGCAGTATGGCTGTTTTCCTGATATTGATTCTTCTTATCCATGAATATGGAATGTTTTTCCATCTGTTTGTGTCCTCTCTTATTTCCTTCAGCAGTGGTTTGTAGTTCTCCTTGAAGAGGTCCTTCACATCCCTTGTAAATTGTATTCCTAGGCATTTTATTCTCTTTGTAGCAATTGTGAATCAGAGTTCACTCATGATTTGGCTCTCTGCTTGTCTATTATTGGTATATAGGAATGCTTGTGATTTTCGCGCATGGATTTTGTATCCTGAGACTGTGGAAGTTGCTTATCAGCTTAAGGAGGTTTGGGGATGAGAAGAACAAATCATCCTGCAAAGAGGAAGCAGTTACATTGCCTTTGGATTCTTTTGTCCTTATTCTTGATCTAGTAAGCCAAGTGCTAGAGAGGCTAGAAGAACCAAGGAACACGTAGGTAGGGTGAGATAACAGAAGAATACCCAAGCTGAATTGAAAAGAGGAGGTGCAAAGAAGCTTGCGTGATGGACTAGGAACAAATATAGACTTCGAAGGCACAAGGACTTGATATCTTTCCAATTTGTCCTCTTACTCTTTGTGTAACCTCTATTATGAGTTGAATTTTGACCCCCCCTCCCTGCCTCAACCAACCAGAAAAGATGTTGAAGTCTTAAACTCCAGCCCTGTGAATGTGACCTTACTTGGAAATAAGGTCTTTGCAGATGATCAACTTAAGATGAGGTGATTAGGATATATCCTAATCCTACATGAATATATCCATATATAAAAGGGAAATTTGGACACAGAGACAGACACATCCACAAGAAGGCGAATGCAGAGATCAAGGTGATCCAGCTACAAGCCAAGGAACACCAAAGATTGCCAGCAAACCACCAGAAGCCAGGAGAGAGGCCCGAACAGATTCTCCCGCACAGCATGCAAAAGGGACCAACCATGCCAACACCTTGATTTTAGCCTTCTGACCCCAGAACTTCTAGATGATAAACTTCTGTTGTTTAGGCCACCTAGTCTGCAGTGCTTGTAATGGCAACTCCAGCAAACAATACAGCCTCTTAACTGTCTTTCATCAGCAAATTAATTATTTCTCCCCAACTCATATCATAAAAGATTTTAGACAGCTTACTCAAGCCCCCAAACAATAAAACTGTGATGAAATGGGCTAAATAGAGCAGCGACCATGGAGTATCTGAATGTAAACAGAAGCATCATAATAGGAAAAATTGAGAAAGTCCATTAGATGCAGTTGAGCTTCCAGCTTGTCTCTGGGCTTCCTGGAAAGCAAAGTGAAAGGAGATACCTGTTTGGTATCTCCAAATAGAAAAGCTTTACTATTACATTGTATATAGCATCATAGTTTGTTAGGGGAAACAAAAAGTTTTTCTTAGCCCTAAATTCTACAGGCAGTGCTGAATTCCTCTGTAAACAATGCACTCAATGACATTTCCTTGGCAAATTCGGTGTACTATCCATACACAGATGTATAACATGGTAGCGCAACCCCCAACTTGAAGGCGACATTTGTGCACACGTAAATTTCTATTTCTTAGAGTTGTCAAATCAAATCTTATAAACATAAGAAAGCTAAATAAACATCACAAAAAAATTACAAACAGGCATGACTCATTTCCATAAGTGATGTCCTGACTCTATCTGATCTAATTTTCATATAAGTCCTTTGCCAATTTACATCTCTCTTCAAAAGCCTAACGGAATCTGGCTGGATACCCCTGGTCTACCTCACCGTAGAAGTTTTCTCTTGTTTATTTTTTTATTCTGATATATTTTGAATATATCAGTCAATTTTAATCTGGACTTGCATTATGTTTTCAAATACAATATAAGAATTTAATTAAAAACAATGCTTCACTGATAGCAGCTCTACAATTCTGTATTTGACATTGTAGTCAAAGTGAAGGCATGGATTGAGATCAATCTGAAATGAAACACTTACCCTTCTATTTTCTTGGAAAACAAATGCAAAATATCAAACATTCAGATAGGCAGGCATAACATCCAGATGTCAAGCAATGGAGATCTTGCTTTGAGGTGCAGCCTGTTTGAGGTATAAGCACACCTCTCAAAGTCTATTTAGAAAATGGAGATGTGTATGTATATATATATATATATATATATATATATATATATATATATATATATATCTGCAACTTCTTTATTTTTATTTTTTTGTAGAGATGGGGTCTTGCTATATTACCCCGGCTGTTCTAGAACTTCTCACCTCAAGCAATCCTCCTGCCTCAGCTTTGCCAAAGTGCTGGGCTTACAGGTGTGTGCCACTGTGACCGGCCTCTGCAACTGCTTGATTCTGCCTGCAGGAGCCACATGGAGTAATTTAGTCCTTTAAGTGTGTGTGTGTGTGTGTGTGTGTGTGTGTGTGTGTGTGTGTGTGTGCGTGTTTCATATATATTTATATATGGCCAAGTGCGGTAGCTCACGCCTATAATCTCAACACTTTGGGAGGCCAAGGCAGGCAGATCACCTGATGTCAGGAGTTTGAGACCAGCCTGCTCAACATAGCGAAACCCCATCTCTATTAAAAATACAATAAATTAGCTGGGCCTGGAGTTGGCCTATAATCCCAGCTGCTTGGGAGGCCGAGGCAGGAGAATCGCTTGAACCCAGGAGATAGAGGTTGCAGTGAGCCAAGATTGTGCCACTGCACTCCAGCCTGAGTGACAAGAGTGAAACTCCATCTCAAGAAAGAAAGAAATATATGTAAGTCACTAAACCTTTTAAAGGAAGATAATTAGAAAATAATTATCAAGCTGTTTTGACCAAAATTCAGATTCTACTTCAACAAATTCCAAGGTATTGCCCAGATTATTTTTTACATTTAAAGCATGGCAAAACTTATACTACATAATTAATTGTGTTCTTTCATTTGTTGATAATGTCTTAGAAGGGTAATAGAAAAAAACATTTTGAGAATTTCTCTTTCTCTGTATCATCAAATATGCAGTTTGTCATTGTTTATTCTCAGTCATTTCCATTCCCAATTTAAGTGTTGGATATGATAACCAGCTGAATTGAAGGCCTGATTCTATGAATAGCAATTTTAAGAAAGGATTTGGGAGATAGGGGTGGGTAACTGAACTTGGTAATAACAATAAAATGATCCCAAGCAAAAGCTATTGCATGAGCATAGCCTGTACAATTAATAGTGACACTTCAGCAGCAGCAGAGCCACTGCAAAAGTCATACCATCATTTCCCATTTTACATTTCTCTCCAAGATTTCCCAGAGAAATGCCATCAAAAGCACAAATACTATTGGTAGGATTCCAAACTCTAAGAAACATCTTAATTCAGAAGATGTTAAAACATCAAAATAGAGAGGAAAATGTTGGCATGATTACTATTTATGACTAGCTTCTGCTCTCTGCACTGAAGATCTTAGCTATTTCCTTCATTTTACAGTTGAGATTTAGAAAAAGTACATAGGAAGTACATAGTAAAGCTTTATCTCTGCATATTTTTGCAATTTGGAAGGACAAATAGAAACAACACTAGGACTTGATACGTTTAGTCATACTCTGTATTGTAGACTCGGAAAGGAAAAAACACGAGCTGTTTTCCCTTCACTCTCACGTCACAACAATCAACACAGGAGACTTCTGTGACCAAATGTGTGGCAGTTTCTCCACTCCAACTAGCAATAAATAATCAGTCAATTCTGCAGTGGGCACCAGCTGGGTGTCCTCCAGTTTAATTCCAACACAACCTGGCTGGAGATATCATCAGATCCCACAGCTTAAAGGCTCAGTCCCACAAGACCACCCTTCATTTCACATGGTAGTCAAAAGCCCTTCGTTGCTTTACCAGTGCTTTTCACCAATGGGCTATAAATTGGGGTTCCCTGACCCTTTCTTGTGTTCAATGCATTTGCTAGAGTAGCTCAGAGAACTCAGGAAAAGAGGTTAATCGGTTTGTTGTGAAGGATATTACAAAGAGTACAGATGAAAAGATGCATAAGGAAAGGTATGAGGCAAAGGATGTGGCACGCCCATGCCCTCCCTGGGAACACCACCCTCCAGGAATCTCCACACATTCGGCTATCCAGAAGTTGTCAGAACCTAGTTTTTTTGTGCTTACAGAGGCTTCATTACAAAGGCATGACTGATTAAACCATTGGTCATTGGTGAACTACTTAACTTTCAGCCTCTCTCCCATCCGTGGAGGTTGGGAGGTCAGACAGAAAATCCCAACCTTCTAATTCTGCACTCATCATCTTTTGGTGACCAGTCACCATCCTGAAGTGACCTAGGGGCTGTCAGCCTTCAGTCAAATCATTAGAATATGAAAAGATATTATTTTGGAGACTCTAAGCATTTTAGAATTGTATGCCAGGAAATGGTGTCAAAGACCAAATATATATTTTATAATATCACAGACACATGCATAGATTGTTCAGTTTCTTCTAAGTGAAGTTGAAAAGTGTTTCAACCTAAATTGCCCTATTCTTTCCTTCTATGGTTCCTTCCTATAATTCTGTCTAATGTAATTTAGAAGAACATTGAGGGGAAACAACTTTTACTTGATCGGAGGATTAACTATTCACTTCCCAAGGGTTCAACTGAAAGGTAGATTATTTTATCTTTTCATTTTAGAATTTCTTTTCTTAACTGATTTGTTGTTTATATTGAGTAAAGTGCACCAATATTAAGTAGTACATATTGAAAATGTTTGACATATTTAAAGGTAACAGCTACAGTATCTTCTGCTACCCTATATTAGTTTTGTCTGTTTATGAGCCAAAAACAGATTGTTGCAGAAAATATGTAGTCTTTGAATCTTAGTTCTTTCTCTGAGTAGAATGCTTTTTATTTTCATCTGGTTTCTTTTATGTGTCAGTATTTTACTTTATTGTTATTCTGTATTCTGTTAAATGTTGTTTTTAGACGCATTTGAGCTTCCAGCTTGCCTCTGAGCTTCCTGGAAACAAAAGTGAAAGAAGGTACCTTCTTGGTCAGAAAAGCATGTTGTTTTTTCACTGTCATGTTGATGGAGTTATGGTATGATTCTAGCCAGGGGCTGTTATAAATTAAGTTGATACAAGCATTCTTGTATATGTCTTTTGGTGGACATACATATTGATAGATGTGGAATTGCTATAGGTAGATGTATATTTAGCTTTACTTGATACTGCCAGACTTTTGCAAAATAGTTGAACTGGTTTATATTCTCAATTACAGTGTATGAGAGTTCCAGGTGCTCCACATTTAATATGTCAGTATTTTTAATTTTAGCCATTCTGGTAGAGTAAGTTGGTATTATATTGTGGTTTTTAATTTGCATATTCTTGATGACTAATGACATTTGGCACATTTTCAAAGCTCTCAGCTGTTTGAGTATCTTTTTAGTGAAGATGTTATTCCAATATTTGCCCTTTTTTATAAATTGGTTTGTTCATCTTTTTTGTGTGTTGATTTGGAAGAGTTCTTTTTACATTCTACTTACAGGTACTTTGTAATGTATGTGTGTTGCAAATATGTTTTTCCACTCTACGGCTTGCCTACTCATTTTCTTAATGATGCCTTTTGATGAACAAAAGTTCTTTATTTGGATAGAGCCCAATTTATAATTTCCATTTTTGTGTTTGTTTTTTTGTGTTTGCTGAAACTTTGCTTATCCCCAAACCACAAAGCTATTATTCTATTCTTCTAGATGCTCGGTGTTTTAGCTCTGTGTTTAGACTATGATATGTAACAGGGATCAAGGTTTTTATGTCCACATAGTTGCTATAGTACCAGATAAACAGTGCTATAGTACTATTTACTGAAAAGACTATCCTTTTCTCTCATTGATTTACATTAGTGGCTATACCATAAACCATTTACCTGTGGGTCTACGGGTCTATTTCTGCCGTCTGTTATGCTCATTTGGTCTACTTTGTTATCTTTCCTCATTATGAAACTCCTCCAGCTTTTTGCACATATTTAAGATTGTCTTTGTTGTTGTAGGTTATTTCCATTTTTGCATAAATTTGGAATCAGCTTGACAATCTCTTCCCCATGCCTACCCTCCCCCCCCACCAAAAAAAATCTGCTGGGTTTTTTGAATGCTTTTGCATTAAACCCAGGGATGAGTTTGTTGGAAATTGACATCTTAACAATATATCAAGTTCTTTATATCTGCATTTAGTTAGCTCATTTATTTCACTAACATTTTCTATTTTGGAAAGATATCTTATGCATGTTTCATTAGATTTATTCCTAAGTATTTGTTTTTGATGCTATGCTAAATGGTATTTTTATTTCACTCTAATTTTTATTACTATTGTATGAAATTCATAGATATGAAATACAATTAATTTTGGAATGTTGGCCTAGCCAGCAACCTTATTAATTTCTCTTAGTCATCATAGTTTCTTTTGTATTGTCTATGACCATGTCATGTGTGAATAATGATAGTTTTATTCTTTCTTGCCTATTTTTATACATTTTATTTCCTTTTCTTGCTTTATTGCAATGCTTCATTCCAGTATAATGTGGAATTGGTGCTAGTGTACATCCTTGTCTTGTTCCCAACATCAGAAATGCAGTCAGTCTGTGGTATCATCTTATTAATTCTCTAGCCAAACCATAGTTTATATTTTGTAAAAACAACAACATACATTTGGCTATTTCAAACTTAATTGAATTTCTTTGACCTCTACATAATTCTTCCTTGTTGAAAAGGATAATTTATAACAAATATTTTATTGCTTAGAAAGCAAACACTTATATTGCAAAATTTCTTTGTATTTCACTTTCAACTCTAGAAAATATTTGTTAGGTAGGAAAGTGTAACTTATGAACTATTATAATGCTTTAGTATCTACTAATTTATTTGGGATTTACCATGTATTTAAAATGTAAGCAATTTTTATATGAATTTCTTCTACTCTACACTATGAGCATAAATTCAAAAACAGCATGGATTTGTATTAAATTTCTTTGAATCTCTTAAGGCAACTAGAATAATGCCTTGTCTCAATAAATATATGTTTATTGCTTTAGAGAAAACAAGTCCATTACTATTTTCTTTTTTTTTTGGGAGGGGGGGGACGGAGTTTCGCTCTTGTTACCCAAGCTGGAGTGCAATGGCGCGATCTTGGCTCACCGCAACCTCCGCCTCCTGGGTTCAGGCAATTCTCCTGCCTCAGCCTCCTGAGTAGCTGGGATTACTCCATTACTATTTTCAAACTTGAAATTGTGTAATGTGTTTAAGCTGCCACTTAAGCAGCACTACATTTTGCCATAATTTTGCTATAGTAAACATTCCAAGTATATTCAATGTTGATTTTTGTTTTTCTAGAAAAAGTAACTTTGTGTGTTCGGTGTTGGTACAAAAGAATACCTGAAACTGAGTAATTTGTAAAGAGAAGAAGTTTAGTTCACAGTTCTGCAGGCTGAGAATTTCAAGGGCATACACCTGACTTCTGGCAGGGACTTTTATTCTGCATCATAACATGACAGAGAAGGTCAAAGAAGATGCAGACATGTGCAGAGACAGGAAGTTTTGAGGGGCATCTTAGCACTGTAACAACCCACTCTGTTGGAAACTAAGTCATTTCTTCAATAACTAATTTAGTCTTGTAAAGCAAGAATTTACTACCAGGAGAACAACACCAAGCCATTCATGAAGGATCCACCCTCATAAACCAAACACCTCCCAGTAGGCTCTACCTCCAAATGCTACCACACTGGGGATCAAATTTCAACCTGAGTTTTGTTGAGAACACACCAGTCATATCCAAAGCATTGCAAAAAATTGAAAAAGCTCTATTGACCAAACACACACTAATGTATAAACAGACATGTGAACATATATAACTTTGAGACATAGCAAGACACTTGAAACTTTCAGAATCATAAAAAAAGTATCTATCAATCTTAATATTTTATTAACCCAAATTATTTTGATCTGGCCACATGGATTTACAAAATTTACCCTAAATTTAAAATTCTAAAAGAAAAAAATCAACCTTGAATATACTTGGAATGTTTACCACAGCAAAATTATGGGAAAATGTAGTGCTGCTTAAATGGCAGCTTAAACATATAATGCAATTTCAAGTTTGAAAATGGTAATGGACTTGTTTTCTCTAAAGCAATAAACATGTATTTATTGAGACAAGGCAATTTAAAATAGAATGCAAATGAATATTCATTGGTATTATTTTCATTAATTGTACAACATAGAGAAAATAAGGTTAACATTTTTTTTCTTTCCTCTTTCCCTCTTCTCCTTTGATTTTTTTCTTACCTGTAAATTAACCTAGTTGCCAGATATCCCTAGTTAGCAATGGAAATTTGGAGGATGTCAGAGGCAGGAGTGGTTGGTGGCTTTCTATTATTCTAGAGTTGTGCCTGAGCATTTTTATAATAAGTGAAACTTTCCATGTATTTTGTTGTTGTTATATCAGGTCTTAAACTATACCTTTATAAACTCTTAGTCATATATACTAAAGGGTATTTATTCTCACGACTGTTATTTATGGGCTTTACGTCTTCTATGCAAAGGATAAAATTGTCCCTATGAATTTCAGAGGTGGACATTTGGTAAAGAGAGAATTTTTTTGCTTGAGTTATTGCTTAAGTCAGAGTGTGCCCTAAATCTTCTAACTCTTAATTTAATTCACTTGAAAGCATTTATTAATCAATGTGCCTAATACATAGATGGTACTGCTTCCAGCGCGTCTGTCAGTCATGTTACCAGAGCCTTTATTTCTTCCTCTGTGCCAAGCTTAAAAAATCAGATAATTTATTTTACATGAGCCACATGTGCAAATAGACCTGTAATGCTCAAATCTTGATACTTAAAGGTAAATCTAGTATCAGAGAGCTCTCTTACGTGGTCTAAGATTATATTCAAATTACAAGACAAGAAATTTATTTTAAAATCTAATGCAATCTACTAACAGCAAGTGAGAGGGAACTATTCAGAGTAAATAGGACATTGTTTACCTGAAATTTTACTGACACATTAATTGACAAATCCATTTTATATGACATATACAATCAACTGGACTTGTTTAATGTTAGTACTTAGATAAAAAGTAATTGTAGCTCAAGACCTCATAATTGTATATATATTTTTTCACTGTACCTTGTACAATCATTTCATGTATGAAATACATGAGTCCACAGTATCTAAATATTTGAACATTCTGTTTTAATTCAATTAATCTCTGAACCGCAGAGTCTATGCTGAATGCTATTATCTCTATAACTCAACGATAAGGAGATTTAACAGACTCACAGTTAAATGTGCATGGGAGTGTAGCATTCAAAATTTGTTTCAATACAACCTTTTGGATTATCGTATATTTGCACTTTATACCTTTTACTTTACTGAGAGATGCATATGCAATATATTTATATGCATATATTCAGTGTTGGAAATTCACTCATAATGATGTATATCAAGTGATTTGGATACTTAACTGCACCCCATCTCAGGGAATCTTTAGAACTTACATTTGGAACATTTAACTGATTTTAGCTATGTAATGTAATTTTACACATGTTACCTTACATTTCCCTTCAATTCCTTCTGAATCACACTGCTCTGGTTTCCTGGCCACACAGTTCAAGAA